TTATGTTAGTTCCCAAAGTAATTGCACTTAGACTATTGCAGTGACAAAAACAGTAATCCCCAAACACTCTGATGTGTTCCAAATCAATTTCTTTGAGGTTCGCGCATAAGTAAAAGCATTTATCTGGAATTTCATATAAATTACTTGATAAAGTAATTGAAACTAACAAAGTGTTATATTCAAAACACGAAAGACCAAATTTTACGATGTTGGAACAGTCCATTGCAGTCAGTTTAGCATTTGTATCTTTAACTGCTTTGCCCAAAAAAATGTTTGCGTTTTTATAAGCACATCCATAGTATTGACTATCAAATCTAAAAGTTCTTAATGGACATATAACATGTTTACCTTGGTTTAATTTAATGCATTTGTGAAGAGGTGTGGGGTAGTGGACATAGTATTGGCGATATTTAGAAAGAAATTTATCTTTTTCTGTATAGAGATGAAGAGTCTCGACATTTGGAAAATACTTTTGTGTTATAAATGAGACTGAAATGGGATTAAAATGAAACATCGCTGGTATTTCTTCAAACTTTTTACATACAAAAACCATGTTGATATAATCAGAAATATTACTAAAGTATTTGGAAACGATCATCATTGAGTAGCGATCAAGCTGAACCACCATTTGTATATTATTAAAGTTTGTTTTTAATTTTATTAAATTAAAAACCATTGAGGTATTACTTTGATTGATAAAAAATCGTTTTATAAATCAATAATATTAATGCACCACTCTAATTACTACTTTAATAAAAATAAAAATTGTTAAAAGTGTGACCGAATGATATTTAAATAACCTAATATGTTATAAAGTCCAAAATGTTAAGAATAATTTAAATTCATTATGTTTTTATTTAATATTATACATTAATCATTAATTAAATAACAAAATTATGTTAAAAAGTTTGCATTCCATTTCTTGTGTATTTAAAATAACATTTTTTTTAAAATGTGTGACTTAAAAATGATGAGAAGATAACAAAAAATATTAATTTTAATAAAAATTTAACTACAGATTTGATCTTAAAAAAAGATTAATAATACTATTTAAAAACTTTTTGTAACAATGGTATATAGCAATAAAATTCAATTTAATAAACAATAACAATACACTCAACTGTGTCTATAAGTTGCAGTTTTAGTTGTAAAACTGGTTATTTATATGAATGGTCAATTATAAATATGTAACAAAAAGAGAAATTATTTTTTGAATATAAAACATTTTTAAATATTGAAACAAACTTTTTACAAAAAACTTCATTACACAAAATAAACCAAGTGTATATAAATAACATTATTACATTTTTAACAATTTTAAAGAAAAAACCTTTATATACATAACTCTACATTATTATAAAATATATGTTACAACTAATTTGTATAATCAAATTATGATTGACTTAATATATATAAAACATACAAAAAATGTGCAAACTTTATATATTTTATAAATGTTACATCAAACATGAACTGAAAATTACTATATTAAAACCAAATAATGTTTTTTTTAGAATAACTTTTAGTTTACAAATTTAAGTTTATATTCTTCCGTATACGTGTTATAATAATCATATTTCTGGTATTGGATAGGTTAAATTAAATTATAAATAGAAAAATTAAATGGAAGAAATACCAGAAATTAATTTTCATGAAAGTCTAAGTAGCAATCATATGCCTTACATAAACGGCTGCATATTCAAACCCGAATAAAAGGAAATATATTCAAATGTTCTTACAAATGTTGAAAAGTTATGATTGAATTTGTTAAAACTAAAATGGAAATTACAAATACATTTTAAATAATACATTTCACACACATGATTATGTCGATTATTTAAATGATTAATTCTGAATACGTTTAAAATAATCGGTTTAAAAAATTTCAAAAAAAGACAACAAAATAAATAGTAGTAAAGCAATACATTCAAGGAACAACTCGATAAATTTCTTTCAGTGAAAAAAATCAGAAAGGAAAAACAGCCATATTCTGCAACCAAAACACAAGACATAGAATTTTCAGTTATAGAAAAATAAATTACACTATATCAAGATGATGATATGATAATATTTGGCAAACAAGATTATGTTGAGTTTTTAAAAACCTTTCCAGTTTTGTTTTTTGATGGCACTTTTAGATTATGTCGTGTTTCTTTATTTAAATTAAAACCAATTAGAAACAATAACAAACAACTCTTTTTTATCAATTAGATACCATAAACTGTCTTATAAGTGGCGATTTTTCCCAATTGTTTTGGGGTGTTTCAAAGGAAAAAATATGAAATATATAATAATTTTTTAAATTTATAAAAAATGTTGTTGGTATTGATTTTTTAAACAGAGAAATGGTTGTTATGGGAGATTCCGAGTTGTGTTTTATGAAGAATTTGTTTCCAAAACAAGTCAAAGAAAAGTGTTGTCACTTTCATTATTGCAAAAAAATATATTTCAATGAGGTTCTTATTGTAGATTTAAACACTGTTATAAAAATAGAGACAAGTTCAAAAATGCAATTAGAAAATTGATGTCTTAACCATTTATGCTGGTTAGTATGATATACACAAATTTTTATGAATTAAAAGAAATTTATAAAGATGACGCCGACATTTGTGTTATTTATAAACACTTTGAAAATTATTACATAAACGGTGTTTTTAAGTTGATAATTGGTGTTTATTTGGTATCGAAGAACGCACAAACAATAATGCAGAAAGTTTTCACAGTTCTTTAAATAGGTCAGTATTAACAAAAACACCTAATATATACAAATTTGTTGACAATTTAAAAAAATATATAAAACGTGTTGACATTCATTATTTATCATAAACGAAAAATTTTCAATTAACAAGAAAAAAGAGTGTTGTTGTAATATAAAATATCACAATTGAACAACTTACTATTGAATTGATAAATGGAATGGATCAACTTGAGTTTTTCGAAAAAGTATTTGTTATCATTAGTGCTTCAAAAATACATACACTTCTCAATTGTGATACTGATACCATTATTGAAGAAATATTAAAAGAAAACGACATTGTAGAGAGGCTTAAATCTTAAACAAACATGAACAACAAAGCCGTAAGCGCGTTTGAAAAAGTTTTTGAAATAGATTTTATATCAAAATATTGATTAGATATGTTATAAACGAAAATGAATATACTTCAACAACTGAAAAAAACAAAACCTATCCACAAAAAGAAAACAAGAAAAGGATACGGACCATAATAAAAAAGATAAATATTCAATTAATTTAAAAGAACTTAAAACACATATTTAATTTCATACAGTTAAATTCGTTTATTTGTAGGTTTTCTTGCATAAAAGCAGTTCATTTGTAAGTTTTTCTTAGAATTAGAAAGAATATTCTTTGATTTATATTATGTATCAAAAATTTATAAAAATAACCATAATAGTAGTTTTAGC